CAGAGACCTCAGGGTGAAAAGCAGAGGGGCGGGGAGGGCAAGAGAAGCTTATCTCGATTTTAGTAGATTCCACATGGTGGTGCTCTATCCAACTTTGCAGGAAATCTCCCAACAGGTTCCTTCATGGCTGACAACCGTCACTATTGCCTATCTCCCGGTGAGAACAGGTATGTTCTTCTTCCTGGCTATTGCAAAGTGTGAATTTGATTGTCACCCGGGCATGGGAGACCTACCAACTGGTAGGCCCACCACGTGCTTGGGCAGGGTTCCATCCACATCACGTGTGGCCACCTTCTGGGGACTGTGGTCCAGCTACATTGGCAGGTGAGATGAGCCGTCACACCACACCATTTAGGCTGCACGACGAAGCACTTGCTAGGTCAGGAGGTGTAGGGGAAGTGGGAGAGACATGCGGTTCAGGAAGAGCCTTCATTATAATTTCCGTGGGAAGGAACGGGTGAGGCCGGTGCTCAAAACCTGGACCTCTGATGCCTCCAGAGGGATTGTGAAGCTTCTGGGCATGGTCAGAAATAAGCATGAGGTGTGGGTCACACAGTGTTAAGAACAACAGACAGAAGAAAGAGAAAAGAGAAAACATACTAAGAGCAAAGGCGAGAGGGGGAAAACAAGGCAAAACCAGCCAGAAAGAGGGGAGAAGGGGAGGGACCCAGTGAGTGTCGTGGACAGGAGTCCTGACAACTGCCTGCTTCGTGAGCCTTTAGGGCATAAACATCCCTCCTCTAGCTTGTGTCAGGTTATCCCTCTTGGAGGCCACCAGCGTCAACATGGGGCCCGCCCCTCCTTGGGGTGAGGTTGGCTTTTGCATCAATCTTTATTGTGGATTAATCTGCAAAGTTTGCTGACTGGTTTGCCAGGGCACCGGCAATCCGTTTTCACACTCTGGTTCCTCTTGAGCTCCTAGAAATGTAGAAAACTTCCCATTTGGGGTGGGTCAACCTACTGTAGCTTTTGTCCCAGTAGAGGACAGACTATGTGATGCCTGTGTCCAACCAGATCAGCGTTTACTGGGTCCCTCACTAGGAGTCAGTACCGGCAAGACCCCGGGGGCCTGAAGACTGGTAAGACGCAATCCTTCTCTGCTGACAGAGAGAAGAACCAGGAAACTATTGTACTGCCGTTTGACAGAGGCCTGGAGATGTGAAGCGGGTGGGTAGTGTTGGGCCACGACAGTCAGTTCCATTGCTGGACATTTACCCATGACACAAGAAATTGCAATCATTGGGAGAGAGTAGGAGTTAGAGAATAGATGGCATTTTGTGTTGTCTGAAAAGCTGGATTAGTCAGTTTGCGTTGCTATGCAGGAATCCCTGAGGCTGGGTAATATGTATGTAAGACAGAGGTTGATTTGGCCCAGGGTTCTGTAGGCTGTACAAGATACTCCTGGTGAGGCCTCAGGAAGCTTCCACTCGTGGTGAAAGCTGAAGGGGAGCTGACGTGGCAGATGGCAGGAGAGGGAGGAAGGGAGAAGGAGGAGATACCTCACTTTTCCAAACAACTCGCTCTTGCTTGAACTAACGGTGTGAGAACTCACACATTGCCACAAAGATGGCACCAACCATTCATGAGGGATCCGCCCCCATGACCCAAACACCCCCACAAGCCCCCACCTGCAACACGAAGGATCGAATTTCAACGTGAGATTGCGGGGGTTCAAATATCCAGATTGGATCAGGAATGTTGGAACTTATCCCACGCATCCAGGGAGTCGTCGGGGGACTTTTAGCAGGATGGTCCCATGATCTGTTTGCTGACAATAGATCACTCTGATATCCAGGAGGAGGGAGGTTTTGAGGGATATCAAACCAGAAGTGAGGAGACTCAGGAGTAGGGTGACCGGACACCCCAAGTTTTTCCCCTACCATAATTATTAGTAACACTCCTTTCACTGTGCGTCCCGGGTCAGGTGACAAAATCTGTGGTCGCCCTACTACTGCAGTGGCCCAGATAAGACTTTATGATGATGTCTAGAATAGTGGGGGCTTGGCGAGGTAGATGGAGAAAAGTTGCTGGCTGACATTATCAACAAAGGCAGTTGCTTTCCCGTCTATACTGTCTCTTAAAACGAACCCCCGTACAGGCCTGGCAGAGCCCAGTGAAAACTGAGTCTATCAATCAAATACTACATTTTGCATCAATATAATGGCTGATGGGTCAATACGCAATGGGCTCATGGTTTATTTGTCAGCTCAGATGGTACTCACCTGAGAAATCTGAAAATAAATGAGAGGGAATTATAAGCAACCAGTGAAGGAAGGAAGGAAAGACTAGGCTTGGAGGTGCGGGGGCATGAGTTTTGCTCCTGTTCTTGAAATAGTACTGAGTTTTCAGACAGAGTACCACATGTTCTGACTCATAAGCGGACCCTGAACAGTGACCATAATACTATAAGAAAGGGATTGGCGGTAGTGGGATACTGCCAGGTTGGGGTGGGGGGTGGACATAACATCAATAAGGGTGCCTGATCTTAAACCAGGCAGAGTGGGGACCAAAGTGAGGCCCAAACTTTACCTGTGTGATGATCACTTGTATAACTCATCCTGAGTTATTTCCCACAGCTTTAAATAAAATAAAAAAAAATAGTACTGAGTTTTCGTGGAAGGTTTTGAAACTTGCTTGAGGACAGCGGAAAGGGCCTTGAGACCTTGTTAAAGTTCCATCTGTCTGAGGTCATTATAACCTTGTAGGACGTAAGTATAGAAGCAATTTAGTCAGCTGAAAGGAACAATTGCTTGTTTCCTGGTGCATGTATTTAATCACGAGCTGTCACTCGGGTCTCCTGCTGGAACCCAGAAAAGTTTACTTGGTGGCAATAATTGGGGAATATTTTTTAAAAAGAGAGTGAATAACTAGACCCGAGAGAAAAGAGATGTCGCTAACAGAAATACGCTTTAACAGAAAAAGAAATATGAATACGAGGACACGGAAAGGATGAGGGCCTGCCGTCACCCCTATTTTGCTTTTTCAAGTGTCCCCCTCCGTTTTCTCATTCTGTGCCTACGAAGCAGGCCTCCCCCCCTCTAATCCCACTCTTCCCTTGTATTCTCCTGCGCTTATCTCCTCGCAGCTCCCAGGGACCTCTAAATCCTTGCCGCCTCAGAAAGTGTCGCGGCACAAAAGAAGGGTGCTTCCGTTTGATCAGTCGCTTCATTAAATGCGCCAGCCGCAGCTTGGAGCTGGGTTTGCCTCAGGTCTGCTGATAGTGCAGCGGGCTGTGTAGACATGTGTCACAGCTGCACGGCTGCCCGGGCCAGAGGAAATGTGGGTTTACCATTCCGCAAGCAGGGGCCAGGCCTGCCTCTGTCCCTCTGGTGAACTGTGAGTCAGGGAGATATTTCTAATGTGCAAGGAAGGATCTGGTTTCCTGATTTGCCTCTGTGCCTCCTGATGCCCCCGAAACGTGTCTGCTGGTTATCTCTCTGTCCGGGAGCTTGAGCTTCCCAAAGGCAAGGCGAGGGGTTGGATTTTAAATCTTGGTCCTTCTCCCCCCAGTACTTTCAGACTGTTGCTTTGCAGAACTTCATTTGGTCAGACTTATTTCCTCTTGTTTTTGCTTTAGAGGAATAGAATTGAGTAAAAAAAAAAAAATGCCTCTGAGGCGGCAGGGCATGGGCTTGAGAATAGAAATACTTTAGCAGCTCCTTGAAACAATTTTGTTGCCGTGCCGTTACCTTTAGAAAACGCATACTTCCCATGCATCTGTAATTCGGTGAAATCAAACTCACATAACTGCTCTGGATCTTCGGAAACTTGGTGTCTCCACATTTTTCACTGAGAAAAACTCAACTTTAGGAAAGTGACATTGAGGAGAACAAAGGCCTGGCTTGTTTGCCGCTCTAGAGCCTGCGATATTCGTACATGGCCTTCTGAGCATCTCTCGACGCTCCCAGCCTTCCTGTTTCTCCGCCTCAGCCTCCTCTTCGTCTTCTAGTTCCTCTTCCTCCTAGAACTTGGGCGAACACTATGCTCATTTGCTATTATGAAAACACGTCCGACTATCAATTAGGAGACAATGCTTATGGCATTCCTTTTCATCTCTGGCATATACATTTATTGCATATTTTTGCAAATCATTTAGATTGGCCAGCCTAGGCAGCACAGTGAGACCTTGTCTTTAAAAAAAAAAAAATTAGCCAGGCATGGTGATGCACATCTATGGTCCCAGCTACTTAGGAGGCTGAGGTGGGAGGATCACCTGAACCCAGAAGGTTGAGGCTGCAGTGACCCCTGATTATGTCACCACCCTCCAGCCTGGTTGACTGAGACCCCAACTCAAATAATAATGATATTAATAATAATAATTTAAATTGGGCAATGCCACAGAATATCAAATAGGTTTATAAAGTAATTTTTAAGACTTATTTGGATATATTGTTTTGATAGTAAAACAATATTAATACTCATTGAACTGAATACTTTCTGGGAAACTGGATAATTCCAGGCGTGTAACATATGTGATCCCTAGTCTTCAGAGTGGCCATAGAAGGAGTCAGATGGAATAAGCCCAGGGCAAGATACATTGTCAGTGTTCAACTGTAAAGATAAAGTAGTTGGTTACAAAAACTAGGGGACTATGAAACTATTAGCACAAAATGATACCACCAATATTTACTTAATTAATTTGTTTGGATTTTTATTTGAGAACCAGCTAAAAGAGCCAAAGTAATTTTTTCTTAGTGTCATTGATATTTTTACTGTATGTAACACACACATGTGTACATACTCTTAAAATATAAAATGACAAACTTTGTCCAAATCCCAACTACAGAGCCAAAATGTATGTGGTGTAGTTATTTAGAAGGATTTATTTTAAGTTCGACTTTTTTTTGCACTGTGTAAATTGACACTTTATAAAGGTTTCATTGTCAGGTACATAACCATAGCCTTTTATAATTCTTCATATTGCAATGTCATGTGAGAATAAGAACTCTGATTAGAAAGTAATTAGTCAATAAGCCTCATTTTTTTGTTGTTTATTCTAGGACTCAAGAAGGATTCGTAAAACATCACTGCACAGTAATGCAGCTATTACCATGGTCTATTTAGGGAAAAGTGTGCACCTATCTTGTGATAACCCAGACTGCCGGGATGAAATAAAAGTTTATCAACAGCACTGTGGTGGGGAAAACCTCTGTGTCTACAAAGGCAAACTACTTGAAAAAGGTATGCATAAAATGTGATTTTTTTTTTAATTGCTGGGAGTTGATGCCATAGATAAGCTGCTGTTGATATAATATCAAAATGACTTCAATCACTTTATGAAATTATGCATATCCAGGGACTTATAAACCAGCTGCCTAAAAGTAAATCGAGATTTACGGTTCCATGATCGAAACTGAAGCAGCAATTACTCTTGCAGATTGTGGAAGAAAGAATTTGGAGTGATTTAACCTGGTAGCAGATTAATTTTGGGATAGAGATATATGATCATTAAAATGTTGTACGAATAAGCTGTCCCCCAAATTACAAGTTAACTATTTGGCTTGCCATCGTGAATTACACCATACATTATTCTGGGAGAAATATACCAGACTAGCAATTTGTCCTTTAGAAGTATGTTGAAATAAAATCACAAATCCAATAAACTCCAGGGTGAATCACCCCTAAATTACTTGGTGCAGAATTTGGCTAAATAGCTTTTTAGTACATTTGTGCTTTCATTGGATCATAAATCCAGGTTTGTCAGCATAAGATAATTTTTATACCCAACATAGGTTTTCATAAATTGCACTGTAATGTTTTTCTTCAATATTTAGTTTAGGGGAGCAGCAGCAAAGTGCTTACAGGATTATGTTTGTTACTTCCTTGCTAAAGAAACTGTGCTTAGAAAGTAATAGTATTTTTATTCTTAAAAATAAATATTTGTATTGGGGCAACCTTGAAATAGACTTAGGAGTCCAGGGAGGAGTTGGGGGTGAACATGGAGATTTTACTTTTGGTCTTTTCAATTTATCTCATCAATCAAAACCAGGAACTACTGATTTAAACAATAATTCAAGTTCTTAAAGAGAGACTTTAGAAATATTTAGGAACTGCATATTTAAAACTTCCAAACATTAAGAAAAGAGTAAATACTTGGATGTTAGTTTTAACTCACCAGTAACAAAACATGAATACAAGTCACATTTGACTCCGCAGTTACAAGGGGTGCTCAAAGTGGTTCCCGTCAGTGTCCAGACACTTCTGATGATGGCAAACTTAAAGTCATACAAAGAGAACATTCCTTAAGATGTGTATACATTGTCATATTATCCCTGGTATAATATGATGCTCAATTATGCTAGAAACAATTTTTCCCATTTTATGTGTTTGGGAGAAATGCATTTTGTCTTCTGTTGTGGCAGCATTGCAGAGTTCGTTCCTTTCATTTTGTAGATGAGGAGGATGAGCTGAGGAAGATAGGCTGAGTGGCCCCCATGGCCACACTCTGGGCGGGATTCAGAGCATACCCTGCCCCCTGACTAGGCGAAAAGCCTTTGATCAGTTCCATGCAGCCCCAGCTGGCTATTCTCAGTAGCGAAGCGTTTCTGACATTTTTTGTCACATGAGGGGTGTGAATCCCCTAATGACAGTGGCATAGATACATACATTTATTTTTTTTTTAAGTATAATTTCCAGCTATTAATTTAGGAGAGTGCTGAAATTAGCTGCAGTCTGACATCGGAATTAACATATTGAAAGTTGTCCTGAGTCCCAGGCCACACTTTACTCAACAAAAGGCACACATAATGTCTATGTGACTCCTGGAAAATGTGGCCTATACAAATGAAAACCGAGTGAGGCTTAGCTGCATGATTCTATGGTTGGCGACGGTGATGAGTGTGCAAGCCCGAGGCTCATGGGAGAAAGGGTGTCGCTTGGCTCCGTGTTATTTTGCATGCGTCTCGAAGCTGGGGCTTTTTGTTATGGCTTTGGACAGTCTTGAATAATAGGATGGAACGGGGACTTAAATAATTGAATCCTGTCCACACCATAATTTTGTCTCAGCTTGCCCTTGATTGCCAGGAAAGTAATTGTTCAAATTTGAAAAGTTGGGTGGCTCAGAGTTGACTTGCAGTTCAGCAATCTTAGCAATTTAGCTGAACTGAAAAGAATCCGTCCTTTTTACAAATTAAAGCCGTGGATGACTCAGAGAAATGTGAATAGGTTTTTGAAAGATTTCTATTAAAAAGGGGGAGGGCACTTAACAATATGCTTGGAGCAATAAACTCATTTAAATGTGGCTTTTTTAATGAGAAATAACAATAAAATTAATTATTTAGAAATGTGGCAAGTGCATCCTTTATCCACATAGCAATTCCTGATGTCTTGCAGTTTGATTTTAGACTTCAAGCCACAAGTGGAGTGTTTATTATGTATGCCTACGAAGTCAGAGAATATTTTCTGCTACTTGTAAAGAGCATAGTTTCTTCCCAGGCGTTTTAAAAATTTGCTGTGTTTATCCTTTTAAACAAGACAGACCTTGGCCTCTTGGGCTCGCAGGGAAACAAAAAGAGCCAAATCCCAATTTCCCCGGGCGCCCTTGGACTCCCTTCCTTCTCTCCCCATTTTCTTGTATTTCTCCTCTTGTTCTGCCTCTCCGTGCATTTCCCATCAACTCTGGCAAACACGGCTCCTTCCTGTCCCACGTGCCATATCTCGCCTTTGCCTGTGCCGTTTCCTTGGTCCATAACGCTCTCTCTTTTCTCCTTTTCAAATTCAACCCCTGCCCATCTTTCAGGACTCAGATTTAGGCTGTGCAGTTTTCTCAACTGACTACCACTTTGTGTCATCCTGATGGTCCACTCTCAGGCACGACTCAAAACCACAGGATCTTCCTTCCTTCCTTCCTTTCTCTCTCTCTCTCTCTCTCTCTCTCTCTCTCTCTTTCTTTCTTTCTTTCTTTCACCAGAGGCTGGAGTGCAGTGGTGTGATCACAGCTCACTGCAGCCTCAAGGTCCTGTGCTCAAGTGACGCACTGAAATTAGGCGCGTGGGACCACACGCCTAATTTTAAAAAAGTTTTTTTTTGGAGACAGGGTCTTGCTCCAAAAAAACTTTTTTGGAGACAGGGTCTTGCTGTCTTGCCCAGCTTGGTCTCAAACTCCTGGCCGCAAGTGATTCTCCCACCTCGGCCTCCCAAAGCCCTGGGATTACAGGTGTGAGCCATTGCACCTGGCCCTGTTTGTTGGTTTTCTTTGACTCGTGGTCATATATTGATGTTTATTTTTAGTTTAAAAAATAACTTTGTGGAGGTGTAAATGAAATACTGTCAGATTTACCCATTATAAGTCTGCCATTCGATGACTTCTATCTCCACCACTTCAAAAAGTTCACGGGTGCTCACATGCCGTCAATTCCTGCTCCGTGGCATTCCCAGGCCCCTCTGACCTGCTTTCGACTCTGTAGATTTTCTTTCCTGGATGTTTCCTATGAATGGAATCATGCCTGGGTGGCGTTTTCCTGCTCCTTTTGCTTAGTGTGTCACGTTTCTGAGAACATTTATAGTATCAGAAGTTGCTCACTCCTTATATGGCTGGTATATTCTATTCCATAGATATACCCTATTTTTGAAAAATTCACTCCGTTAGTGGACATGCGTTTTGTCTTCAGTTTGGAAGACAAACTAATGCCGCTATGCGCATACAAGTTTTTGTGGACATACATTACCATTTCTCTTGATTAGATTCTTAGGAGTGGTTTTGATTGCTTTTTTCAGAGTATGGGTCATATTTTCCTGTTTCTCTTTTTTCCACATATCTTTTGATTTTTTTGTTGAAAACTGCTTATTTGGGATGGTATATTAAAGCTACAATGAATACTGAGCTGTGACTCTTCCCCGTCAAAGGTTGTTGTGGCTAGTTTTTTTGTTTTATTTTGTATGTGTTGTTATTGTTTGCCTGCTTAGTGACTTACCTGGACTAAGTCTGTGAAATTCAGCCTTCCTCAGCCCGGTGTACAGCTAGTGATGGTTTGCTCAGATCTCTGAAGAATTCTGTTTTTATTTTTTAGTCTGGTCTCTTAGGGTTGTCTCTGTGTTTTTGTAGTTTAGTGACTGTCTAATGAGTTGTCAAAGGTTAAGCTCAAACACCTTGAGCCAGTAATAACGTCCCCACCTTCCCTCAGTGTAGTATTTGTGGGTGTATTAGTCTTCTGAGTGGATGTAACAATTGTCCCCCAGACTGTGGCTTTGAACAACAGTAACTTATTCCTTCACAGATTTGGAGATCAAAAGTCCCAAACTGTGGTGTTGGCAAGGACATGCTACCTGGACAGCCCCAGGGAAGAATCCTTCCTGAAGGCTATCGACTCCTGGCAGTCCCGCATTCCTCATCTTGTAGCTTCATCGCTCCAGTCTCTGCTTCTGTGTTCTGATGGCATGCGTCTTGGTGTATCTCCATGTGTGTCTTCTCCTCTTCTTATAAGAACATCAACTGTTGGATTTAGGGCAAAACTTAAATCCGGGGTCATCTCATCTTGATCCTTCACTAATTATATCTGTGAAGACTGTATTTTCAAATAAGGTCACATTCTGAGGTTCTGGGTGGTCATGAATTTCTTGGGAAGACATATTTCAACCCACCACAGTGTGTTCAGGAGTATATTTAAAGTTCAGGAGGTTTTCAAGTGTGCTCCAACTTTTATTTTCCACCAGGCATTCTCTGTCTCTGTTTCTGTCTCCCTCTCTGTCTCTTTCTGTCTCTCTCTCCCCGCCGCCCCCAGGCTCTTGTGTTTCCTCTGGGCATTGGTGAAAGCTCCTGGACGACTGTGGATGTATGAATTGGTCAGGCCCACTCTGATCCATGCCGCTTCTGATCCCCAGTTAGCTGGGGATATATAGAGCGTGTCGATTGCCTCTATGACCACCTTACTGCCTGTATCTCTCTGTTAGATTTCTGGGTAGCCTGGTGGCCTGTTGCTTGCCCTTCTTGGAACTACAGTCTTAGGCTAGTAGAAACCCCCACCTTCCCTGGGAGCTGGCCTCTGAGATTGCTGCTTAGTACTGGCAATGCCACAGGCGACGGGGCTGTCTGTCTTCTGCTCCCAATCAAGGCCAGCCCCCATGGACAGTGAGGCTGACCTTAGTCATGACCTTCCCTACCCCGTCCGAAGCAGAGACGTGTGGGGGATGGGAGGACCCCCAGGCAGAATGCCATGGAGTATCACTGCCTTCACCTGAAGTTCAGTAATTTTCCGTGAATAACTGCTGCTCTGCTTCTTTTAAGTCTCTGATCAATTTCCAGAGATAAAATCTTCAGGGAACAGAGCTTGATGACCTCACTCCAGAAGTCTGGTGTATTCATTTTGCCTCTCCTTCTTAATTGTGTATTTTTGAGAGAGGAGACCACATTCGATGTTTTCTCTGTATTTTTGTTTCTTTTGAAAGCCCAAAACAGTGCTGCCCACTGTCAGTGAGCAATAAATAACTGTGCTGAACAAGTAGTACGCAAAGCTTTCTTTCTTTTTTTTGAGTTGGAGTCTCACTCGGTCGCCCAGACTGGAGTGCAGGGGCTGCTCCCGGCCACCGCAGCCTTGATCTGCTGGGCTCTGGCGATCCTTCCGCCTCAGTCTTCCGAGTAGCCAGAATTACAGGCGTGCGCTACCACGCCCGGCTGATTTTTTGATTGATTGTAGAGATGAGGTCTCGCGAAGTTGCCCAGGTGGGTCTCGAACCCGCGGGCTCAGGCAATCCACTCACCTCAGCCTCCCAAGGCGTGGGATTACAAAGCTTTCTAATATGTCCATTCCATATTCTTTAAGACTGCTCTGTGAAGCAGATAGACTAGGTCACCAGCCTACCCCACCTCACCATCTCCATTATACAGATGAGATTTCTGAAATGCAGCAAAGTTAAATGACTCCCCAAGGGACACTGACCTGCTTCATGAACCAAAACTTTCTGGTTTCTAGTGTATATTCTTTCCACTTCTCCCTAAAGAAACCATCATGCAAGGACTGGGATGTGTCACTGTATTTTAAAACAGAAAGTTAGAAAAGACCTAACAAGGGAATAAAGAGGGGAGATCCATTCTTGTTCCATAAACTTAAAAAAATTGAAAAAACAAAATGGAACACTAACTGGAGATGCTATCTACCTCCGTGGGCCTCAGATGGAAGGGCAGTCTATCTAGAGGTTGGTTCCCTGTGTCCAATCTCAGCATTTCCTTGATGTGCTCTCTTTCCGGACTGGGAACATAGGGAGCTATGGGCCATGACACTGCACAGAATGGCTCATGTTACATGAATGTAGAATTCAAGTTTCTGTTATGAAAGCAGTCAAACTTGCTTTCTGGTTGCCACTTGAGGAGTCCATTTATCTTTAAGACAGGTGGACTTTTACTTCTATGGTTTCTTGGTTTTCCAAGACACTAACTTTTTCACTTTTTTCTAGTTTGATTAATTTCATATCACAAATACAAAGGTATAAGTGACAGAATTATCTTACTAATAAGTCGATTCTTCAAAATAAGTTGTGACTGATTTGAGATTTTTAAGGGGCAAAATGTGGTTTTCACAATGTTTCTAGATGATTACAAGAAATACACTAAAAAAATAACTCACTAATTATCTGGGGGAATCTTTCTGTGCCATTGTCCTCGGACCTGGGGAAACAAAGATATGTGAGACTAGCTTTAGCTCTTGTGGATTTCACAAGCACACAGGGCAGCAAACATCCAGATCAGCTTCCCAAAGTGCAGTCCCTAGACTGGTAGCGCCTGGCACCTTGCTAGAAATGCACGTTCTTGGGCCCTACCCCAGATCTACTGCATCAGAAGCTCTAGGGGGCGGCACAGCAATCTGCGTTGCAATAATAATCATCTGATGCATGTTCAAGTGTGAAAACCTCTGGTGTAGTACACATATCTTAATATAGTGTAGTAAGTCCCACACTAGGAATTGTGTATGTAGTAGAGAGGCGAAAATTGTTCTCTCTCTTACTGTTAATAGTAGAACATCCAAGGAAGCTTTTTTTTTTTTGTAGGAAGTGACATTTAAAGTGTTCATGAGAAGCAGGGTTTTGAGCCACTTTGTAGAGAACAGGGTTTCTCAGACTTAGGGTATAGGACCTCTAGGGTGGGACCTTTTCGAAGAGTTTTATAAAGACTTGGAGTGATTAAAGACTATTGATGGTAGACAATAGGTGGGACTTTTGGGTGGGTGGGGAGAAAGAAGTGGCCTCCAATCCAAACAAATCGAGTATGGCTTGGAGATGGAAAAAACGGTCTCATTTGTGCATGTACCAGGATATCAAAAGTCACAACTAAAAATTGTTTTAAAATGTTAAGCATTACTGAGCTCATGGTGTTTTGTTATTAAATACTTGGTCAGTGGATAGCAGTAACGTAGAAGCATGGAATAGAGAGAGATGTTTAGATTCAAACTCTCTCTCTCTCACTTACTGTATGATCTTGGGTAAATTACTGACCTCCTCTAAGTCTTAATTTCCTCACATAGAAACTATAAGTGATAAAAATGTTCCCACTTCATGTGATTATAGAAAATAATGCACCCGGGGAAGGGGGGGCACATAACATCAATGAGGCTACCCAAACTTCACCTGTATGGTGACCACTTATGTACCTAACCCTGAATTGTACCCCACATCTTTAAAATAAAAATAAATAAATAAAGGGAATAAAAAAGAATGCACTCAAGATAATCAGGCATAATTCTTGGCTATGGTATGTGCTCATATAAACTTAGGAGCTATTATTTTATTACAAATCAAATAACTTTATTAAGACAGCATATTTATTACAAATAAAAGTAATATAATGCATCTTTTATGATTTAAACTTATCCTCATATTAAAAGGTGATCTAAATCACAATACTGAATTTATCTAATAGAAAAATGTGACTTACAGGTTAGTCCAAGGTCAGTTGTTTTCACGAATGCATTTATTTTTTAATTCCAGAAACCTTTCAGTTTATTTCGAAGAGGCACCATGGTTTCCCCTTCAGTCTCACCTTTTTCCTGAATGGGATGCAGGTGAACAGGCTAAGCTCCTGCTGCGAATACAAGCATCGAAAAGGTTCCAGACTTGGAGGCAAACGAGGATACTTTGGGTTTGTGTGTGTCGAGAGAGCATCTCCTTGCTACAAGTATGGAAACAAATGTCCTTTGGTAAAGGGCAAGTTTTGCTATATTTTTCTTCTAATGCTTTTACTGATGCATTTCTCTGCACAGTTTATTAAGAAAAATCAGCATAGATTAGTCTAAAATATCTAAATTAAGGGTTGTTTCTTATAACCCAGAGTGTTGTATTTAAAATTATGAAATATAAATCAGATTTCCAGAAATATAACAGAGATAAAAGTTGGTGGCATTTTAAGTTATTTCTCTCCCTCCCTCTCTTTTTCTCACTTTCTCCCCCCTCATAGTACTTTAAGTTCTGCGTCTGAAGGAGAAGAGACAGGAGATCTTTGTTTGTTTGTTTTCTCATTCCTCTTAGTAACTGATTTTGGGCTGAACCCTGAAGTGTGTGCCAAGCATCTGATTTACATGGTTGGATATTGCAAGTTATGTATGTGCATTAGAGGTGTGTGGACATTATGGTGTGATCCAATTTTCATTCTTATCCCTCCAATTTCACTTCTGGGCATCACAAAACACATGATAAAAGGTCAGTTTTGACTGTCATCAGCTTTCATACTGGATGTTCTATTTGAAATCAGGAGTCATGCCTGTGGCTTTCTTTAATTTTTTATTTTTTTGAAAATACTCACGGAGAATTGACTACATTCCAAGGTAGAACACAGGAGTGAATCGACTCATGGAATTTATTCTAATAGAGGAAGGAAAAATAATATACTAATATATCAATCAATATATGTCAGAGGGTCAGTGTGATTGACATGACCCAGGGTGAGGGAGATATAGGGAATGAAGGGGGACAGGGGTCATAGCGGAGTCAGTTTATGGAGGACGGTCAAGAAAGGCCTCTCTGATAAGATGTCCTTTGGGCAGAAATCAGAAAAAGTCTCTTTCTTGAAACAACTTTCCAGATAGGGGCAAAGCGTGAGGCAGGAACATGTCTGGTGTGTCTAAACTAGTGCGGCCAGAGCAAAAGTAAGGAATAGAACAAGATGGTAGATAAGGTTAGAGAGACACTGAGGCCAAGACATGTAGAGTCCTAAGGACTCTAACTTTTATTTACAAGGACTTTAACTTTTATTCTGAGGTGAACAGGAAGACTCTCAGACAGGTTTTGAACATTGACCTGTCATGATATGAGTGTAGCTGTTATGAGAAAAATAAATGAGAGCAATGGGGAAAGAGCAAAAGCTGCTTTAATCCAGATAAGAGATAATGGTGAAATGAATTAGAAGTGAATGAGTTCTAGATACATTTTGAAGGTAGAGCTGGCAGGATTTACTAATGGATTAGATGCAGGGCACGAGATAAAGAACAAAGTCAGAGATGATGCAGCAGTTTTGGTCTGAACAACTGGAAAGACATCCACTTAACAGGTACTTAATAAAAGAAATGGAGGACTTTCTGACACCACACAACCTCCCCAGGTTGAAATAAGGAAAAATTGAAACTAAACGGACCAATAGCAATGCAGGAAATCGACTCAGTCATAAGAAATCTCCCCACCAATAAAATCACCAGACCAGAGGGTTTACCAGCTGAATTCTACAAGACATCAAGGAGGAGCTGATACCAATCTTATTGAAAGCATTCCCGGCAATCAGAAATGATGAAACCCTCCCTTACTCATTTTATGAAGCCAGCATCATACTGATATCCAAACTTGACCAAGACCCAACAAGGAAAGATAATTACAAGCCAATATCCTTTATGAACATAAATGAGAAAATTCTCAACAAGGTTCTAGCAAATTGGATCCAACAACACATCTCAAGGATTGTCCACCATGAGAGGCAGGCTTCATTCTTGAGATGTAGGACTTGTTCAACATTCACAAGACCATAAATGTAATTCAGCATATTAACGGACGTAAAACCAAGAACCACATGATTCTATCTTTAGATGCAGAAAAGCATTTGACAAAATCTAGCATCTCTTCTTGATAAGAAACCTCAAGCACCTAGGCATAGAAGGAACATTCCTCAAAACAGTAACAGCCATCTATGATAAATCCACAGCCAACATTTTGCTCAATGGGCAGAAGTTGGAATCATTCTTCCTAAGAATGGGAACAAGACAAGGATACCCACTCTCATCCCTCCTGTTCAACATAGTACTGGAAGTCCTAGCCAGGGCAATCAGGCAAGCAAAGGAAGCCATGGGTATCCAAACAGGAAAAGAGGAAGATAAGCTATGCCTTTTTTGTGGATGATATGATTCTATACCTTGGAAACCCTAGGTAGTGTGTCAAAAGCCTCCCCACACTGATAATCAACTTTGGTAAAGTCTTGGGGTACAAAATCAATATGTAAAAACCAGTTACATTTCTAGACACTAGCAACAAGCAGGCAGAGAACCAAATAACAAGCACAGTCCCATTCACAATAGGCACACAAAAAAAGAAAAAGAAATACCTTGGCATCCATTTAACCAGAGAAGTTGTTCTTTATAACAAGAACTACAAAATGCTGCTCAAGGAAATCAAAGATGACACAAACAAATGGAAAAAACATTCCATACTCATGGATTGGAAGAATTAATATTGTCATGATTTCCATCCTACTCAAGGCGATCTACAGATTCAATGTAATATCCATCAAATTACCAATATCATTTTTCTCAGACCTGAACAAGATAATATGGAAATTCATGTGGAAACAAAATAAAGTACAAATAGCCAAAACAACCCTCAGCAAAGGAACAAAGTGGGAGGCATCACGCTTCCAGACTTTAAACTTTACTACAAGTTGACAGTAGCCTATTGTGGAGGGATGGGAGCTAAAGGGGAACCAGCCAAAGCAGGAAAGCCAGTGATTAAAGACAGAACCAAGACAGAGTAGAATCTTGGAAATGAGGAAAGTGTTTGAAGAGTGTGGGCATGGACAACTGTGTGGACCATGCTTCTGGTAGGTTGGGTGAAGTGGAGACTGAAAGATTGGACGTTGATTCAGTAGTGGGTTGGTTATTGGTGACTTTGGCCCCAGTTCTTAGAGCGGAGAAGCAGGGATGTGAGCTTTATTTTAGTTAGCTGGAGAAGAACTAACTATAGACAAGTTTTGAACGGAGTTGTGCTTTAAAGCATGGCAGTTAGGTGGTAGCCAGGAGGGAGAATGTAGGGCCCCGACGGGCTTTTTATTTCTTAAGATGAGGGATGTTATAATATGTTTGCATGAGACTAGACAGGATTGCCACCCTAGAGAAGAAAAATGTTGATGAAGCATAACATAAAGAGAGACTCTGCTGGAGCTGATGCTTGGGTGGGGTAGAGAAGGCGGGATCTGCGGCGCGGGTGGAGGGGTTGCCTGAGGAGGACCCACCCCCCTGCGTTCTTCTGTGCTCACGGGAGACAAGAGGGCGTACAGGGCAGAGAGAAAGGAAGTTGGCAGATGTGCTGGGTCAGATAGGAAGACCTCTGATGACTGTTTCTGTTTTCTCCAACGACGCATAAACGTATCAACTGAGGTTAAGGCTGGGGGAAGAGGGGTTGGAGGTTTTAGGAGAGGGAAGAATGGTGAAGGAGCCATCCAGATGGAGGGAGAGCGAACAGCCTAGGGCGATGTAGCAATAGTTCCCCGGAGGACTGGGGGGCCCCACCTGAACTGGCTTCCATCCAGCTCACATGTATCTCCTTATTTGTGGGCAGGTCACTTAAAACATTTCTATTTAACTCCCAGGGAAGCTAATGAGCTTACATGCAACCATCTGTGTGCAAACATAATGCGTTCTTTGGGAGGAGTGGTATAAATCCAAGCTGTGAGCACTTTCTGTAGAGGTGTAATCAGTACCAACATCTGACTGATGGCATCTGTTCTCCTAGTCAACGCCTACTAACCTCTGTGCAATTCTTCCTATGACTTCAGCACTTGGTCCCTCTAGCTTCTTTCTTCAAATAATAATATCAAAATCATTGTGCTATTAAAGAATAAGACCTGGGACCCTCAACTAAAATGCACAGTTCTTATAGGAGAATGGTTTTCAATTTTTTTTGGTTAGCTTCATAACTATTTCTTCCAACGAAATCTGCGAATGCCCAGAGGAGAACACTGTATTGTCATTTGATGTCTGTCTCCCTGTTGAGATCAGGTAAAAGTCGAGTTGGGCCGGTTTATTGGAGCAGGGACAGGTGGGTAAGACCTGCTTGTTGGGCCCCTTCCCACCTGACTCTGCTTATCTTAGAGGCGCTGGCACTGCAGAAATCCAGTGAGAACAGAGAGCTACCTCGACAGAGATGGAAATCACTTATCCTATTGTGTAACCTTTGTTTTTTGCTGTCACACTCATAACGATACTGTTAGTTATTTTAAGCAATGGACACTAATTTGTTCAAAATGAAATTAATTTTAATTCATTTTAAAAATGCTGGTCCCTAGAATGGCAAGAAAAAGGAGGGCTTGGTAAAATGAAACAAGAGAGTGTTCTATTTCTCAAGAGGATTAGAAATGAACTGTTTAAGGTCCTCAGAACATAAAAAAAAGCTGAGCCGTGGTCCACTTCTGAAGATAGGTTCCACAATTGTTCCCATCACTCCATCATGGGAACCATGTGAAGAGGCACAGTAGCTATTTCCAGTTGCTAGAGTGAAACACAGGAAGAAAAACTGCCTGGCCAAGTAGAAGGCAGACTGCTTTGAGCTTCAGTAATCATAATCAACGCCTCAAATTATGTTCGAAGTCAAACAGGTATCAGGGATGAGGAGAGCACAGATGTTACTCACTTTGCTTGTCCAATTCCCTTCAGCAGACGGGCAATAAAAAGTCTGTGCATGCAGTAGGGACGCATCAAAGCCTTTACACAGCCACAGCATAAACTAAAAGGAACGGCATATCAGAAGCTTCAAATCAATGGATTTGGTATTGCCATTGATAAGAGAGGAACAGCTTGAACAGAAGGCCATTCTCATAATCATATTTCTGTGAAGATTCATGACACCTTCATTCTAAGGAAAGCAATGTGCTAAGCACATTATCATTACAGCCGAGAAATATTTATCATGCTTAATATGGGAGATAGAAGTTTATTCTTAATATCTCGTTTTTTTACAGCCCGATGGCAACATTGAGTGCAAATCCTTTTAGCTTTATTTTACGGGGAGATACTGAAAAGTTAAGTGATATACCTCAGTTCTCATATTTGCTTTTTGGGAGAAGTTATTAGTCAGTTGCTATGCGCTTTCTAGACTGGAGATGGCCGGAATCTGGTGAAATCTTCAGTTTAGGAAGTTGCCATTGGATGTGATTCACTGAAGGCAAATATCAGAGTTTACATGCTATTCTTATTCTTCCTGGACTGGCAAGCCTTGAGTGCGTCTGACCTACCCACTATGAATAATTCTGTTCTCCGGCACTTGTGCAACGTGGAGGGAAGGGGTCGTGCACAGTTCTAGAGGAGGAGGCACATGGACTCTGGACACGTCTCCAGGCCATGGATTGTCCCCAGACCTTGCCAGAAGGCTCTCCAGATTGTTGTTTTCTGCTGAGAGTGTGAATACCTTCTCCGGTGGTGAGCCCAACTGTGTGATGTCTGTCTGTGTAAGCAGTGGTCTTCACTAGGCCCAGCATAACTAGTCCCTTGAGGGCTGCCCGATTACTAGAACAGCATGATTGTGCTTCAGTGGGTGGGGTTGGGGTCTAGCCCTCATGAGCTGGGATCCAGCGCCGTCATCAAGCTGTGGTGTGACCTTGGGCTTCCAAAACCTTTTAAGCCCCAGTTTCCTTATTTGTCAAGTGGTGGTGATAGCTCTTAATGTGTTGGTCTGCAGGGTAATGGATTCCCTAAGATAATGGAGACGGAGCACCCAGCGAAGAGCTTGGCACAGAAGAAGTGCTCAGTCATCTTATCATTATCATAGTCATTATTTTTATTAATGTACTTATTACCATGATGGGAATTCTTATTTTGGTATTAACTTGAGAGGTGGAAAAAAGCTATAGAAGAAAATTTATTCACATTACATCTTTGTGATTGATTTTAAAATTTTTAATGTAATATATTCAGATCATCTGCATGGTTCACCCTATTAGACTAGGAATGACTTTATAACCTCTACAAATCATTGCCATTTTTGAGGAACAAAAGCATATTGATAGCAAAAATCACCAGAATACTGTAGTACGGGCTTCAAAAGGCCATTCTAAAAGCAAAAATGGCAGTTTTATTAAGATAAATGTGCAGACTCCAATATTATTTACTTAAAAGATGCTACAACATTTGACCATATATGTTTCTTAAAAAATCAATCATATTTATTTAGTCAACCTTGTATGTAAGTCTTTTGTTGCTGTTGTTCTAATAGTAAATTATTTAACCCTGCATGGCATTTTTCTTCTGATAATTTTTATATCAGTGTCCCTGTGTTTATAAACCTCAGTGTTGTTTTATCACATAAATCTCACTTAAGGACTAGACATATTTGCGTGTGTGTGTGTGTGTGTGTGTGTGTGTGTGCGTGTGTGTGTGTACTTTATACATATTCATATACATATATATGACTATTAAAAGGTCAAAAATATGCTTTAAGGCACAAAATTTAGTTTGACAATATCGTTCTTGGTTGATGAGTTGTTTTCTATTTTTGTTTATTATTGTGGGTGAAATTATTAAGAATTTGTACTTATTTAAAATATTTTAATATCAATAAAATAAAATAGTTTTAAAAAAAGTATCTATGTAGTATAGCAATATCTTTCATATCATTTTAACTTACCTATGGATAGTAGAACACCATTTTTCATATCATTTGTGGCTAGAAAAAGAGATATGTGATTTCAAAATCTGGGCGCTTCCACTGTGCTGAATATAAGGGCTAATGAACACTGTGTTGATCTTTTTTATAGGTGCATTATTGCGATGGGCCTTGACAGAAAAGCATCTTCGCCAAACCCTAGGAAGGAAAAGAGCACAGAGGAAAGAGAAGAACCGAAGAAGGGTGAAGAGAAAGTGCGGCAGGGGAGAGAGCAAGGCATACCAGGAAGAAACGAGGTTGAGGTTGAGGGGAGCCCAGCCTCTGCCTCGGCCGTGTTTTCGGCTCAGGAAATGAAAACAGAGTTCAGAGAAGTGAGAACAGTCATGGAAGAAATGGAGCGTAAAGGAAAACCAGGACGAGATGTTTGGGAAGATGACCAGGAAAATACCTTAGATTATGGTAATCAGTAGCACAGTCAGTCTTCTGTTGTTGCTGCTATTGTTTTGTTTATGTCTTTGAAGTGTGATGATCAAAATTTGCAAAAGTACCCATTAAATGCAGTTACTCAGTGTGGGCTTTAGACTGCCCTGTTAGACGGGAGGGGTCCCTCTGCCCTTTTCCTGCTGTTTTCTTTGGAGTCCTGTGTCACCTACCTTAGAGGGGGGCAGTCCTCACTCCAGGAAGGTGGAAGGTGCTTGTAGGGGGTGAGAGAGGGGAGGAGAATGTCTGTCTGTGTGAACCAGAGACTCTGTTGAGCCCATTTGCATCAAATAGAAATGTCTTTTTTTTTTTTTTTTAAATGTGCTTGATTTTGAGCATTGATAAATTGCTTTGGCATCAGGGAGGTATGACCTATATGAGCATATGGTGATAGAGTATTTCATAGCTAAAAGCAGCTGACATAGGCTTAGGGTCCTGGAACCTAAACCTTCCTTCTCTTTTCTCTCTGTTCTCCTTTCTCCTCCCTTCCCCCTCTTCTCCTTCTCTCCTCCATATATGGATACACATACAAACACATGCACAGTCGTGTGTATACATACACACATCCATGTGCAGGCATACTTCATTTGATCACACCCTGCTCTATTGTGCTTTGCGGATATTACGTTTTTGACAAATCGAAGGTTTGTGGCAACCCTGCACCAAGCAAGTCTGTGGGTGCCATTTTTCCAACAGCGTGGGCTCACTCATGTCTCTGTGTCATGTTCTGACAATATTTTAAACTTTATTGTTATTATATCTGGCATGGTGATCTGTGACTCTTGTATTGTTTTGGGGTGCCATGAATCACACCCATATAAGAGCAATTTTAATCAGTAAATGTGTTCTGACTGCTCCACTGACCAACTGTTCCCCACCTCTCTCTCCCTCTCCTTGGATCCCCCATACCCTGACATCAAACAATGTTGAAATTAGGCTAATCAATAAACCATATGGCCCTCTGAGTGCTCATGTGAAAGGAAGAGTCACAGGTCTCTCACTTTAAAACAGAAGCTAGAAATGATTAAGCTTCACGAGGAAGGCATGTCAAAAGCCGAGACCATCCAAAAGGTAGGCCTCTTGGGCCGCTTAGCCAGGTTATTGATGAAAAAGTTCTTGAAGAAGATGAAAGGTGCCACCCCGGGGAACACACGCATGGCAAGCAAGTGAAACAGACTTATTGCTGATATACAGAAAGTTTCAGTGGTCTGGATGAAAGATCAAACCAGTCACAACATTCCCATAAGCCACAGTTAATCCAAGGCAAGGCCCAGACTCTCTTCAACCCCATGAAGGTTGAGAGAGGTGTGAATGGTCCAGAAGAAGAGTGTGAAACTAGCAGACGTTGGTTCACGAGATTTAAGGAAAAAAGTCGTCTCTATAACATGAAAGGACAAGGTGAAGCAGCAGGTTCTGATCAAGAAGCATCCTCAAGCCAGTTGAAAGCATTGATGAAGGCGGCCACACTAAACAGATTTCAGTGTCAATAAAACAGCCTTATGCTGGAAAAGTATGCCATCTAGGACTTCCATAGGGAGAGGGGAGAAGTCAATGCCTGGCTTCAAAGCTTCACAGGACAGGCTGACTCTCTTGTTAGGGTCTAAAGCAGCTGGTGACTTTAAGCTGAACCCTGAAAATCCTAGGGATCTTAAGAATTATGCTAAATAGACTCAGCCTGTGTCCAACACATGGAATAATACAGCCTAGATGATAGCACATGTGTGTTTGCAGCATGGTTTACTGAATATTTTCTGCCCATTGCTGAGACCTACTGCTTCAGAGAAAAAGATTCCTTTCAAAATACTACTTCTCACAGACAATGCACCCGGTCAACCAAGGATTAGATGAAGAGGTGCATGGAGTTGAATGCTGTTTCCTTGCCCGCTAACACAGCATTCATTCTGCAGCCCACGGATCAAGGAGTAATTTTGACTCTCAAGTCTTATTATTTAAGAGCTACATCCTTGTGAAGCGAAAGCTGCCATAGAGAGTGATTCCTGTGCTGGGTCTAGACAAAGTAAATTGAAAACCTGGAAGGGATTCACCATTCCAGATGGCATCAAGAACATTCGTGATTCATGGGGGGAGGTCAAGAGAGCAACATTAACAGTTTGGAAGAAGTTGACTCCAGCCCTCATGGATGACTCTGAGGGGTTCAAGCCTTGAGTGGAGGAAGGAGAACTAGAATTAGAAGTGGAGCCTGAAGGTGCGACTGAATTGCTGCCATCTCATGGGAGAACTTGAACCAGTGAGAAGTTGCTCTTATGGTTGAGCAGAGAAAGTGGTTTCTTGAGCTGAAACGTCCTGGCGAGGATGCTGTGAACATTGTTGAAATGACAACAAAAGATTTAGAATATTCATTAAACTTAATTGATAAACCAGTGGCAGGAGTTTGAGAGGATTGACTACGATTTTGAAAGAAGTCCTGCTGTGAGTAAAAGACGACCAGACACCACCACGTGCTACAGATCGGCCTTTCACGAAAGAAAGAGTCCGCTGAGGCAGCAAATTTCATGTGTGTGTCATTTTAAGAAATTGCCACAGAGGCACCAGCCTTTAGTAGCCACCACCTGATCAGTCAGCAAGAGGCTCCTCCAGAAAAAAGATGATGACTCGCCAAGGCTCAGATGACCATTAGAATTCTTCTTAAGAAAGTATTTTTTGGTTAAAGTGTGCACCCTGTGTTTTTAGACAAGGCTAGTCCACAGTTAATAGACCATGGCACTGTGTAAACATCACTTGTATAGGCACTGGGAAGCTAGTGACCACAACAATTTGTGTGAGTCGCTTTACCGTGGTATTCTGAGCTACCTCTGAGCTATTCCTGTACTTTGAACATGTAAAGTAATAATGACAACAATAATAAAAGTTCCAGGCACTGAGCACTGGACCAGGTCCTTTCCTCACACTATCTCATTTTATCCTCACAACTCAATGCGATAGGTATTATTATTTCTTCCATTTTACAGGCTGGGAAACAGAGGCTCAACACCCAAAAAGAAAGTAGCAGCAGAACTAGAATTTATACCCAGGCTTGTCTAATTCCAAAGCTTGGTCTTCAAATCCTGTACATGCTTCTGTTTTATACAAACTATCCTGGATGCTACATAGTTGTGAGTTACGGTGTCCAAAGAATCAGGAAGAGAGCTCCCTGAGTGTCCCTAGGATACTCAGGACAAAACCTGGGTTAGAGGAATAATGGCCATGGGCTGGGGTGACCTGGGGAAGGGCTTCAGGAAAGAGCTCCTCCTAGGCATCTTCTTCCTCACCTCGTGCTGTTGCCCAAGCGTTTCAAAAATCCAAGAGGATAATTACAGGACTGTTACTGCACTGGACTTCATGTTTGTTTGTTACTAACATAATGTGACTATCTTTACATAAGATTTCACTTACAACACCTTCACCAGTTCACCTTTCTCCATGATCTCTTCTAGTCTTCCTCTTATCTTGGGTTGAGAACTTAAAAATACCTCTAGCAACAGCAATCACAGAGAGACTAACACATGAGATGCATTTTCATGTGTTTTAACTTTTAAGACATAGCAGTCTATTAAAGTCACTTTCAATAGAAGCTTTATCATTTCCTTACTTTTTACTAAAACCAGCATGGCAGCCGGGCTCGGTGGCTCAGCCTGTAATCTCGTGCTTTGGGAGGCTGAGGTGAATGGATTGCCTGAGCCCGCGGGTTCGAGACCCGCCTGGGCAACTTGGCGAGACCTCATCTCTACAATAAATCAAAAAGTCAGCTGGGCGTGGTAGTGCGCGCCTGTAGTTCCAGCTACTTGGAAGGCTGAGGCGGAAGGATTGCCGGAGCTCAGCAGGTCGAGGCTGCGGTGGCCGGGAGCGGCCACTGCACTCCAGTCTGGGTGACAGAGTGAGACTCCAACTCAAAAACCAAACAAAACAAAAAAACCAACATGGCTAGTGCGATGAGTGATGCACTTTAAATCTATGATAAAGCTTTTCCTGAAGTCTTTCTTCTGTGTTGCCTAGTTAATGGGCCTTAGATGTCTATTTCTATTGAAAAAATTATTAAAAAAAAAAAAAAAAAAGGCAGCCGCAGTAAGACTTTAGCTCTCTGCAGAATCGCTGCTAATGTAAGAGCAGCAAGAAGCGCGAGTCAAGGTCAGCGAGGGAAGTTTGCGTCTTGATAGATGCTGACCTGGTGTTGACTCACGTCCTTATTAGTGGGGATGGTAAACAAGCTAATTATGCTCTCTAGAGGAAGGCAAATGGAATGTGGGGAACAGGAGAAATGGTGCGAAAGATCTCTGGAAGCACGCCACTACTGCACTCACACCAAGTCGGTGCATAGATGGCACAAGGGTGCTGTGCCTTGGGCCGTGATGCCGACGGACGATGCCTGGGGAACAGGAGGCTGAGAAGTAGGCATGATGATAGGGGGGCTAGAACAAAGCCCAGGCAGCCTTGAGCTTCATATTTGAGAGAAAACACAGGAGCTTCTGCCAAACCGGATGCAGGGACTGTGCTTGTGGTTTGCTGTGTGCTCCTTCAATCTTGTGTTCTGCTTCAGTCATGCAGCTGTAGTGGTGCCCTGATTGCCCTGGTTTCAATCAGCTGCCACCATGAAGGTGCCTTGCTGTCAGTGGGGCACATGTTATATGTGATTTCTCCTGTTCTGTGACCCAATGCAACCACGATGACTACGAATCCCTAATCTTTATTAGGTACCAGCTCTTCATGGCACTGTGCTAAGATGCTCTAGGAATGATGGCTTTTAATATTCACCACAGCTTTGAACCATCCGTATTATGAATGAAGAAACTAAAGCTTAAAGATGTAAACAAATTGCCCAAAAGCACACAGTCAATTAGGGTTTCAACTGAGTCTTGGGCACAAGACTTCTGGATTCCAAGCCCTCACTTTTCACGACTGTGTCGTACTATGGATGGACTTGCAGCAACCCACTCCTGTTCTGTCTGGTCCTCTGCTTATCTTGTGACCAGTAGCAGGTACCTGTAAAATGACCTATGTGTGTGTATTCTGCAGCTCACGGTACTGTCTCCTTTCACTTTCATGGAGTCTTCCACGACCCCTTGACATGACTCTGTCCTTTTTTGATTCCATTCCACTTCTACTTCCCACAGTCAATCACGTGTCTCGTATAAAAGTCCATAGTAATCCATCCCAGTATGTTGAAACTGACATTGCTAAGGACCATACATTAAAAACTTCTATAAAATGAATACAGTAGTGCTTGTGTATTTGCATCTGAAGTCCTCAACAAAAGCTGGAGCTTCTTGGTGGCAGAGATTGTCTTATTGTAATGTATCTTGCATATAGAAGGTTCTCAATAAAGGCTTATTGATTAACAGTTAACCGGACCAAGTAAGGAATTATAACTTGGCCAGCAATACTTGGATCAAGATATTTGTTTTTGTTAGTATGTCCTGTTGGATAAAGGAAATGCTTCATCTTCTTGCTTATTTTACAATTTTGTTTTACTGATAATCACATTTCTCACTTAAGTGTATTACATCTATTTTGTGAAAGCATTTATGTGGTTAATTCTCTTTGACCTTCTTTGTTACAGTTTTTATTTCACGCTTCCTCTTTCATCTCCCTTATTCAGTCTCTGCATTTACAGAGCTTTCTTCATAGGTCCAGGGCATACATTTCTAAGTTAAGTTTCTTTCATTGCAGCAGGGTGGACAAGTCTCAAGTAAATTACCCGAGAGGCCCCCTTTGCTGGAAGAGAAACCAAAATATCTAATAACCCAAACACACACAATTGAGAAACTTTTATTTTGCCTGTAATTTTTATTTTAAGGATAATTATTTATTTGCTTAATTGGTTCTGCATGAGCTCCTTTTCCCCTCTCTATTCTTGGCATGTTGTCATATCAAGATTTTTTAATTTTTGGTGAAAGAGAAAGGGGAACAATTAAATATGAAAGGTGAAAAATTATAACCACGAGGGACAGCTGGAGTTTATCTAATGTGACAATTTCCTTTTCCTGCTACAGATTTGTTGCACCTCTGTAGGGAGTGAGAACATTTGTGGCCGTGACAGGAATGTTCTATTTTGTATAAATTTTATCCTTGAGATGTAATTATTTCATTTATTGTAGGAATGAATAATGCATGTGATTTCAGTTCTGGCCTAGGTCTAGAATCCTTCCTCATGCCTTTTCTTGATGTCCGTTTGGTTCTCAAAGAAAGTACTGTTCACAGTGTAGCTTCTCGGGGCCTTTGGACTTGATTAATTGAATTTTTCCACTTCACTATTCATTAACTTGATATCCAAATATTTTGAACATTTTTCACAGGAAATGTGACCTCACTGGATCTCCAAATTAACTTTCATTATCGTAATCCTGTTCTCTTCATTTTTAATTTATTTCTAATTTATTGTTTGATATCAAATTCTCTTTCCATCTTGGCCAGCGCGGATGACGGCGTCCATTTGTAAATGGACTTTGATTAGGTTTCAGCCTTGTCACTGGAGCTTCATTTCTCTTGTGCCATCGGTACGGAGCTGGTTGCAGCCTTTGATCATTTGCTGTTCGGTGTCCATGTTGACTAATGGGGCGAAAGAGGTGAAGTCAAGAGAGGCTTAGAGAGGGGAGGGTCCTGGGCCCCAAGCTCTCCTCCGAGGGAAGCCGGCGAAGTCTCAGAGGTCCTGTCTTCATTCCGCTGTACTTTTCCAGGATACGAAGAAGATTTTGAAGCAGATGCGGAGAAGCAAGATGAGAAGGCAGACGAAGAACGACCGGCCGAGCAGCGGGTGGATGGAGCGTCCAAGTCTCCCTCGGAGGACGGCCGAGACCACGCGCTGGGCCCCGGAGGCGGGCGCGAGCCCTCGCCACGGGCCCCGCCGGACGCCGACGGCGATGCGAGGGAAGAGCGGGACGCGGGCGCTGCC